TGCCTCTCCCAAAAGGCTTTGGCAGCCAACTTCATCAGTGGCCTGAGTGTCCTCATTGGAACTGCTATCATTCTTTCTGCACAGGTTGAGGATAGTGTGATTGGCCTCATCTTGGCCTTTGGCGGAGGAGTGTACTTGCACATTGGGGCGACCGATTGTCTGCCCAAGATGTATGACCCCAAGTTGACTTTCACGCAGCGCTTGGCAGCCTTTGGAGCTTTCGCGCTTGGAGCTGTTGTGATTGGATTGATTTTGATCGGCCACGAGCACTGCGTTCCCGAAGGGAGCGGTGGTCATGCTCACGGACACCATCACTAATTTTCCGAACAAGGAAGAGTTGTATAGGAGTCACGCCGGACCACGATCTTCCGAGGACAAACCCTGTCCATTCAATTTTGGCTGTGCAGGCCATGAGAATTTACTTCTCAGTTAGTGCTTAACAGGTGCCAACAGAGTTGGCCTTAGAGGGGTGCAATTTCCAGGGGTGGTTGACATATATTATATTGCATCAGAACCAACTTGGATCATGCAGGCTTTGTCATTGTCCATTGCCACAGATGCATTCTGTTTCTTTTCGGTGTTTCTTCATCTATGCGAGCCACCCCAGTCCTCTTCACAGGTGCAGACTGCCAAAAAGGTTGCAACGTCTGTTTCCCTATTCCCTGTGAGGAGGCAACACGGCTCAATCACTTGCTGTGTTCAGGGAGGAAAAGATCCACGTGTTCTATCCATTTTCGAGGAAACGTGTGTCGTGGTTCTTTCTATGCGTGGTCATGACCGGTCTTGTTTGGTCCCAGGTGCTTGGTCGTGAGATCTCTCTTTTCGCCGCGACGGAGCGACGTGAGGAGCGACGGGAGCAGCTGAGCAGTGGAGCAGTGGAGACAGGTTGGAGCAGCTGAGCCGCCTCTCGCTTGCTTTATATATTTTGGTGTGTATACACCTTCCAGTCACCGGTTGCCCTATGGCCTTCTTTGCAGAGTGCTGGGCACCCCGATTTTTTGCTCGGCATGGACCAGGTTCAAGTCATTGTGATGAAGTTCTTTTTCAAAGCTTTTGTTTGGCACTTCCCGTGGGGATCCTGACTAGCTATGCCGAGGCGACCTGCTTGGGAATCCAGTCGCCCATCTGTGTTTCACCTTGCCTGGAAGGCCGATGAAGGGAAATAGCCGATCTGAGAGCTCATTGGGGGAATTTAAGCAAAAGATTTGAACACTTCCATGTGCATAGCAAGACATGTGGCAGGCCTGAGCTCTTGGCTAGAGGGGTGATTGATGAGTGGCGAGACGCAAGATTTGCTTTAGTGTAGCTTTAGACAGCGTGCTGATTTGTAGTAGCGTCCGGGAAGGCATTCTTAAAATTCAGAGGGTTAGTTAAGTGACACTGGGGATTACATGCCAACATGCAGTCATTTCCCGTCTGTCATGCTGAAATCTATATCAACACGACATGACGGGATCCTGGAATCTTCGACACAAATCGCCCACCCTCTCAGCGAACACTCCGAACACTCCGGAATCGAAGGCTTCCTCTTGGCGTCCCCACTGAGCTGATCATGCTGTTCAGCCATGCACACAGCATGTTTCCAGGCGGAAACGGGTCTGGGAGCTTCAATGGCTGTTGTACTTCATTTGTACCTTGATATTCGATGAATTCTGGATGTGACGGGCCCTCTTGAATCGAGTTTTCGCAGCACAACGAAGCAGCGAGCCAGATCTGTAGACTACCGATCGATCGCCACGAGTTCGGTGGATCAACAGCCCTTCCGCGAAGTCCCCTTCCACTCTCCTGAGTTCCACCGGAGTTCCTCCACTCTCCGGTGGAGAGTTTCGTGGCCCACTGAGGCCCACTGTTTGATCGGCCACTCTTCGGCCACTGGACGTTTCCAACTCTCTCATCCACTCGAAGACAGTTACAGCCACTCTCCTCTCATACAGCCAACTCAACTCTCTCTCATCCTGTTTCCAACAGCCTTTCTCTTTCATCCCACTTTCACGCCCCGGCCACAGCCACGCCGTCAGCCCGATGCGATCGCCGAAACGGGCGAGCCGAGGTAAGCCGGAGGCACCGGGAGGCGAAACGGGCCGTTTCGCGGGCCGTGGAGGGTGGAGGTGTCTGTGTCAGGCACACCAATGCCAGGGGGGACTATTCGGAAAAGGAGTTGGGAAAGAGTGAGTGACTACAGAACTAGTGAACTAGAGTTGGGTAGTGTAGGGAGTTGAAACAAGGAGGCTGACGGCGGAGATTGAGGGTCACTTTGGATGAGGAAGTGGGAGAACACATGGAGTGGGTATGATGTATCTACAAAAGTCACTAGTCTGTCACACAGCACAGTCATTGTTGTCAAAAATTCCTCGGAGTGGTTGACCAAGTAGCGCTTTGTTTTCGCGCATTTGCGGCAAACAGACTTAGAGCAGCTACGATGATTGTCTTGATCTGACGCCACAGAGCGGCTGTAAGATTCCGGCGAAGGCCCGGCTTCGGAGATCCCGGCAGCGCGAAAGGTTCCTGCGATGGTCGCAATGAACATTGAAAGGCGCACTGATTGGGCTGCCTTTTTTTTTGGGGAGTCACTGGGAACTGCACCCATGGAAAAGTGATATAACTTTTCCACAGATGTTAATGGGGTGATTCCACAGATGATCTATGGTATAGTAGTTGGTATAGTATACTGGTCCGCGATGTTTTTCCAAGTATCAGGGGGTGATTCCCTCTAATTCTCCTAGTAGAGCGCAGAGAGAGAGAGAGTCTGTGTGAATCTCTTCGACGTTCGCAGCGATCGAAGGCTCCGTATATGGTTGTTTGATCTGAATTTTGGTTGGGAATGAGGGGTGTTCAGGTGTTCACCTTCGAAGGTTGAAGGTTTGGAAGGCAAGCATCAATCAGCTCTCAACATCGATGCAGAGGAAGCTGAGCTGAAGCTGTAGCAGTGGCTCTTTGCTGCCAAAGAAGCAGAGAAAGCAGACGTGCCGATGGAAAGAGTGAGAGTACGTTCTTTTTTTCTTGCAGACCAATCCAGGTAACAGGTAAAGTTGGGGTCAATGAATTTTTGGATATCGATTTGGAGACTGGCATGACTCTTGGACACGTTCTTGTGCTTTTCTTCGGATTCCTGCCGTGCGTTTCTGTCTGAAGAGTGCGTTTCGCTTTTGACCCACCTGGTTTCTTATGCAGAAGGCTCCGTGGATTCTCATGTGCTGAGTTTGTCAGTCTCTAGACGTTTCTCGGTTCGCAGTCCGAGTTGGAGTAGACTAAGGCCTGCAAAACGCAGGGGTAGGAGCAAGGATGCTACGTTCGGGGCTCCTGGCATCGCTACTAGGAACCAGGACGCTACGTTCGGGGCTCCTGGCCTTACTACTAGTAACAAGAAGCTATTAGACACAAGCGGTTGTTTCTTGGATGCGGTGGTGTCCTTGAAAATTCCCGGGTCGACTGACGGAGCGTATTTGGAACACAGATCACAGATGCTGCTGGTTTGTGTTTGTATCCAAACAGACCTGAATGGAGCGAGCTCTTGGAGAGTTGGAGAAGTGTCATTCCTTCGAAGTATGGTAAACTACTGGTAAGTGTTTAGGCTTGAAATAATCAACCCATTATATTTTGACCTTTGAGCACAGTTTCTTCTTCTTCGCTTGTGAAAGAAGGACCTGATTGGCAGAATTGCGGAGGTAAGAAGTATATGCATCAATGATGCTTCCTATTGCTCTTCTCACACTTGACAAAGATCTTGTTCTAGACGAGTTCTTATAAGCCGGTGCTGCCAGGCAGGGCAGGAGCACACTACAACTTATACAAGTACTTATTGCATCTTTTTGCCTCGTGTGCAGAATTGTATCAATAACTGCGCCAGATGAGTCTTCAAATGAGGCAGGCTTCCAAACCTCACTGTTCAACTTTGCCCGGGGCTTTCAACTGACTTGAGCCATGCTGCAGCTACTTTATTTCAAGAAGTAGCGTTTTATTCGTCGAAGCTATGCCACGCGTCTGGCGATCTCGAGGTTACCAGCCTCCCAGCACCAGCGGTGCAGTTTCTGCGCAGCAGCCAGATGGCGTGGCCCAATTCTTCCAAGCCTTAGGCACTCGAAATCTTCAAACCAAGACTGCCAGGCCTCCACCCCGGACCCCCTCTCGGTCGAAAGATGTAGCCACGGGACTTCGGGAGGGCAAGTTGACCTTCTACGGAGGAGTGCGGAGCAAAGTTCCTTCCTTCTATCCCGTGGTGCACCGGTCCCCGCGGTATGAGACCTCCACTCTCTCTCACAAGTCGAACGAGCATGAGCAGCACGAGCGCGACGGCTCGGAGCAGCACGACGGCTCGGGGCTCGGACGGACTGCGGGAGATGGGCGGTCGTTCTATATGCGGTCCAAGTTGCTTCAAGCTTCCGCGCCTTCGACGCCTTCCACGTTGACTTTCAAGAGGATGAGCTCAGCAAGCTCTCCAGTGGAGCAGCTTTCAAGCAGCGCTGTTTCTGCTGCAAGCCCCGCTCGCAGTGTTTCGGGGACCAGCTCGCAGCCGGAGGCTGATGAGGTGGATAGGGTGATCGAAGGCGAAGAGGAGCTCTTGCAGACAGCAGCTCTTGACAGCGATCAGTCCGTGCCTTGTTCCTCGATCGAGAACCAGAATCAGCCGGTCGAGGCGTTAGAGACATCGCAGCAGACGTCGCAGCAGACGTGGTTGCGGCTCAGTGGTGCAAAGCGATGGGCGGACAGTTTGGAGGATCCGGATGAGGAGCAGTTCTGCGGACTTGCGAACTGGTCAGAGTCTCAGAGAGGGTTTCAACAGGGTGTTTCCAAGAGTCGTATGACAGCATGTTTGACAAAGCTATCCTCCTTTTTTCACCAAAATTTGGGAAGAGGGAGTGCTTTTGCTATAAGTGACTATTAAAATTAGATCTTATTAAAGGAGACACTGCCACTAAAGAAGAGTTGCCCCATGTACTCGGTAGATAAAAGAAACATGTCGACGCAGAGGCCGCAGAAGAAGCAAGAAGAAGACAAGGCTTGCCCAGTGCTGTTTGCTCTTACTGGAAGTATTGGAAGTTGCATTCTGAGCAACTGATTTGGGTCTTGCCACTGGGTTACTCACTCAACATTCCCTGGTGCAGATGGAGTGGGGACTTTCCAGCTCAAACTTTCCTGCTGTCATGATGACTGGCCACACTCTTCATTCCTTGATTGGACACTAATAACCAGCCAACACACAATGGGAACCAGGTGGTATTTGGACATGTCCTCTTCTTGCGCACTGATGTGGGTTGCAAGATTTTCACTCCAGGTGACCGGCGTCAGCTTTGAGCAGACTCCAGTTTGGAGGCGAGCCACCCTGGGTTGGTTTTGCCGGCGACCAAAATCCCCTCTGCACGGAGTTGGACGCCGCCATGTCCCGGACAATAGCCATCCGTTTCTGTCAATTCATCCCTACAAGTCCAGTCTGACCCAGTAAAACCTGGTCCTTTACCTTCGTTTTCTGGTGCTTTTGTATGACCAACTGAAGAGTAACAGGTCGAAGGACTTGGGCATGGCTTTCCTTCTGGCCATCCCTCTGAGTCTCGACTCGACGGCCTTTTTCGGTCAATCCAGAGACCCCGAGGTGGGGACCTCGCGGGGTGGGAAGTAGACGGACAGAACTGCAACCCCCCTCGCCATGCGTACATGGGTAGGCGGGTCTCCAACCAGCTTCGGTGATTTAGACAGGCTCCATTGTCCTTCTTCAGGTGGGGGGTCGAACTGGGGGGGGTTCTCCAATACCCTTCATACCCACCCACATGTGTAGTCTTTTTTTTAATGCGCTTTTTCATGGTGTGGGGCCAACACTTCGGCCGTGGTTTCCAGCCAGATTTCGGACGGTCAAGTGGGCCCCAACGATAGCGATGTCCGAAACAGCAGCATTCCAAGTACCTGGACTCGACTTCAAGTACCGAAAATGGGACATGACCCCATGAAAACAGGTACGACTGAGTCCCCATTTTCCGAGGTACGAACTGAGACTCCAAGTACTGTTTACTTCATTTATGCCAATCACGATATGGGGGGCAGGAGGGTCTTCACGCATTTAGATGTCTGTCAAGGCAGGAGACCTGGCAGACCCGTTCCAGCTGGCGATCCGAGAGCTGGCAGCAATCCGATAGCTGGCAGTGGTGGGGGAGACAAGGCCAGGCAACGAAGACGCAGAACATCTGCTTTTGAGGAAGATGCAAATCATGCAGTCCTGTGATGTTACATCGAATTGATGTTTTTATTTTTTTGCAACATCGTGCTTGTCCAAGCGTTTTCAAAAGCTCATTGAACATCCTACTCGCAGCTGATTTGCTATATCCGCTGCGCTTGGTTGCAGGAAAGCGCCCTCGGCGAAAGCCTGAAAAGAAGTGGGAACGAAAAGAGGCGACTGGGACATCTTTTGGCTGCCGAATTCTCACATGACATCTAACTCTCAAGGTGCTGAACATGAGTAGTGCCCTCAACACAGTACATATGTACATCACAATTCTGTGCATAGACCAGTCAGTCATTTGATCAGTGGAACGAAGTACAGTCATACGACATAGAAAGGCTTCATGTTCTTTGTGGTACCACCAGGATCCACCAGGTTCGTGTATCTTTAAAAAGAAACATCAGGTGATCTCAGCCAAAGCTGCCAGGTTCAATCTCTCCGCTTCTGATCGCAGGAGCTTTTGCAGCCAGCGAGGACCACCGTCACGTGTGTCACCCCATTCGATGGTAAGCAGCGCAGCGCAACAGATTCAGTAAAACAAGGGATGTTGAACGGCCAGGCGTTATATCTATATATACACGCATATATGTGGTCACCACCCCCTTTTGACTCGGCCGGGCCAATATTTGATAGATATACCCATGCTAACAACACTGGAATGGATGCAATGGCAAATAGCATCATCCACAAAAAGGTCGTTAGTCAGACCTTCTATGGTCGATAGATCTGAAGAAGCTGAAGAAGAGTCAGACCTGTGTCACTTGCCGCGCAGCGCTTGCCACACCTGCGAGACCAGACCTGCGGTCTCGACCGTCTCGTCCAAGTATACAAATGACCTGGACCAGAGACCGCGAGGTATTTTGAATCTTATGCCATGGGCAGGATCTTGTTTGAAGTCCACAAACCTGTTGAGCCGGAGGACGATTGGGTGGTTCAAGGCAGACGGACCCAGACGGACCTATTTGGGTATGCACACCTGAGCTCTCTGCGGTACGTGCAAGAGCTTCTTCGTTTCTCCTTTCTAACGGCTTTATACCCAAACATGGTTGTTCCGTGGCCCACCCTGATTAGAGAGACTTTTTCGGTCTCATGTTGAGTCCTTCTCGGCTCCTGTATCTCACCAGAATTGGTGTGCAAGCAGCTTCGAAACGAAGGACACCGAACTCTTGGCAAAAAAGGTTTGTTGCAATCCAAGCAGAATTTAATCCAAATGTAAGCTGTTTTGGGTCATGAGTCAAAAGACCAGTCAAAAGTCAACCGTTATGAAATCTAGAGAAACGGAACAAACACATTTCAACGAACACTCTAACCCAATTCCGGTTGTTCATGATGTGCAAAAGTTGGGTCGACCGTGCCCAGAGTTCCACTTGCGACAGAGACGCAGCGACAGACCCGCAGTTCATGGGATCCAAAAGCGATGTGCCGGGACGGTGCTGCGACGGTGCTCGCAGCTCGTCGCTCTGACTGGAACCTGTGAAGGGATTGGAAAGCCTGTGACATGCTGGTTTGATTGGTTTGGGAAGAGTGACAGGGGTTGGAAGACATGAGATGCAGCTTTTCAACCAGTACAGCTGGCACAGCTGCAGATGTTTTGGATGAACGGCCTTTGCCTGCCGCTTTTGGTTGGAGAAACTGCTGAAAGGAGCGGTGTTAGTGCTGGGGATGTGAGCGCAGCCGCACTGGCGTCCTGGAGGCACTGGGTAGATGGGTTGAGAAGACAAACATTTGTTGGAGGCAGGATGAGGCAGGTTGCTGGCACCAGTCACTGACTTCTTTCAGTTTCTAAATATTCCAGAAGTGGCCAAAACTGGCAGCTCAGAATTAATCGTGTGAATGACCGCAGTTGCACAGGCGGCCGCGGAAATGGCAGCTGCCTCGCAGCTGACGCGCTTCTCCTAGTGGAGTGCAGGGGGGGACTGCGAGGGCCTGTGTCCGATCGCCCCTTCTGTTTGGGATGTCAAACCAACGATCTCCAAAACCGGAGGGGATAACAGGAGGCTGGAGTGAATGACAAAAGATCTTTGGGACAACCAATGGGCTGTTTCCCCATGGGCTTGACCCCTAGGGCCCCTAAACCCAGATCCAGGAACGCCCCCCAAAAGCGCCACCGAACGCTGAAGCCTTTAGTCGTTATTACTTACTAGGACCCTCCGTTTGGGGCTTCGAGCTTGATATAACTCCTATAGTTTTTTTCGAGGTGAAGGAGATCCGGTGTCGCCTTTTCCTTCACCACCCAACTCCAGTGAGTCCTGGTCCGGGGGTTTCTAAGGAAAAACCGTCGTGGCTTCGAACCTCCCCCTGTGACCTCCGCGCCCGCCGTGACCGCCGCACCCTCTGTGCGCGTCGACGGCCGAGGTCCGGAGTGTCGCTGCTGCACAACAATCTCGCAAGCTCTTCCAGTGGGTCTCTTTGACACGCTTTGGAACCTTTTGGCGGTTTGGGGGCGGAGAAGCGGAGAACGAAGCAGGCGGATGCAGGCGGAGAACGAAGCAGTAAGCAGAGTCAATGAGAATCAGAATCCATTTTTGGTGCGAGGAATCATGAGTGTTTGGAATCGGACTGCTTGGGTTTTGAGGATCAATGAGATCGATCCACGATGGGCGAAGAACCGGACGTGGCGAAGAACCCTTCTCATTCGCCCAAGCTGAACACTTCGTGGTTTGCCCATGGTTGACGGCAGGTGCTTTCTTCGGGTTTGCTCGGTCCATGCGGAAGTTGGGCCAAGCATGGCCAAGCACGGCCACGAAGTGAACTTGCTCTTCCAACCGAACCGAACAACTCGACAGAAACGACTTAGACCGGCCATCCGTGTCTTCATCACCTTGAAAGGCCTGGGGGGTGGCCTCGACCGCCCGTGCGAAATTTGTCTTTGGGTGTGCATGAAATTCTCCGGAAGAAGGGGACCTGTGACATGTCGACCCGTCAGCCCAGCTAGGGCCAGGGTGTCAACACACATTCATGTTCGTTGAACCGTGGAGCCATGAACACTGAGCCAACAACCACGCTCATCAGCGCCACCCGTCGCGGTGTGGTGCAAGAGGGTTTCGCGACGAAGCGAAGTCAAGGCTCGGGAACTCGACTGCCAGGACGATGGCTTCCATTCACAACTCCTTGAATGCAGGCGATGCTGATGTGTGATCTTGAACAACCAGCAATGCTTTTTGAAAAAGTAAAAGAGGTTCTCAATGGATCAACATTGGCAAGAGTGTTGCTTCTTGCCTCCCTGCAAACCAGCAAGCCCAACCAAAATGACCTGTTGATTACATGATTTGTTTCTCTGGGCATGTGGCACTCTTGGACAGTACTGTATCTTGAAGGTGGACCTGGGCAAAACCGATCTTTGGATGATCGGTCGTGGTGCATGGCGACCCGCATGACCGACTCGCCGCCGACCCGACCAGCATCCGGGTCAGAGCCGCGTGGAGCGACCAGGACAAGGGAAACTCCTCTTGCACTCGCTGGCCACCGGCCAAAGCAAGGACCGGTCGAAGCAAGTCTAACGCGTGGTGTGGCTCCAGCGATGGGTGTTTCCTTTGTTCTGCGAGAAGAGGTTCGAAGGAAGAGTTGGCCGTCAATTTTATAAGCATCCATGAATCCCAAAAAGAACATGCTTTCTTTTCGAGCCAAGCGGATTTGTTTCATTCTGCTTCGTTGTGAAACGATGGACGGCGGATTTGTACTGCCTGGTTTGCCGGTGTTTCTATCTCCACCGACGGTCGTGCGTTTCTTTTTGCCAGGATGGTCCAGAGGTGGTGCAGGCGCGGCCAGGAGGACCACCACTTAGGACCACGGACGATGCCAGCGTTGTCTCGTTCCTTCCAGGGCTACACCTCTCAACCGTCCGTCGTTTAGTCAAGAGGTTGTTATTCTATGTTATTCTTGGGTGGGTAGGTGAAGGTTCGCGGTTTGAGCGATCCGCAGAGCGATCCGGAGGCAACCTCCATTCGATATTTGGAGACTCTGCATGGACCAGTGCTGGTGGCTGCTTGACTTCCGACAGCGTTCCGCACTGTTCTTCGTTTTTCATGCGCCGTTTCCTTGTCTTTCTTTTTCTCGAGTCGTTTTTTCGTGCGAAACAGAAGAGGCCAGCGGAAGAGCAAACATCTACGGAGGATTGAGAGGACCAATGGCACTGACGGACACCCATCTGTTCGTGCATTGAACCTCTGAAACCTGCATCTAGGTGCAACAGGTGGCCACTAGATTCACTAGATAGATAGAAAGAAAGATAGATAGATAGATACATAGGTACATGGACAGATAGAAAGAAAGATAGATAGATGAATGGATACCAACGGGTTCTTCATTTTGCAACGATTTACTGCAGTTCACCGAGAAAACTACACTTTGCTGCTGGACTGAGGTTACATCCACCAACGGCACTCAAGTCTATACGGAGGAAACTGGGCGGTTTTTGTTGGAACAAGCTCAAAGCCCAGTTTTGCTCTCCCGTGTTTTGAGAGTGGAGAGCCACTTGAGATTGCAGGATGCTTCCGCACTGATCTTCTATCTCCCAATTGCGGACCAAGCGGCACTCTCAGTGTTGCCTCGCTCGCCTCGCGAACTCGCTCCAACGGGGGGTGACAGCTCTCATTGTGCCCAGTCATCATGGATACCTGGAGACCTCAGAAGGTGACATGAACAATCTTTTCCTCTTCATGACACAACTAGATGCTGGTGGAAACTGATGTTTGCTTGGTGGTTCACGGATGGCTCTGACCGTCCTGCCCTTGGTCTCTCGCGGATCGGAGAGATTCCGATCCCTGTGGTCTTGGCGGTTTGCTGAGAGCCTCTTCATTGTTTTAGATTGCAACCTGGAAACATCCAAGAACCAGAAACACATGATTCCCCCAAACAACCACTCCTTATTATCTCACTTGCGCTTCTGGAACAACCAATGGTTTTCTTTTTTCTGGGTTTTCAGCTTTCGGTCCCTGTCATTCTCTGTTTGGGTCGACCGAAAGCTTCGACCACGCTTCACCGCTGCACACGTCCCGTACGTTCCCACAAACCATAATATGTTTTTGTATACCCAGACACTCCATGTATGCCATATATGCCGATCAGTTGGGGTGGTTTTGGGGGTCAATGTAGGCATATATGGCAGTCCCAGACGGGTTGTGTCTGGGTCACATCTTTTTTTTTAAAGAGGTCCGTGACTGTGAGTCACTCCGGCGCGGAACAAACCGGAGGACCCCACACCCCACACTGCCCCCACATTCCCCCCCCCACCCACCGGAGTAGGACCTGTCCTTTGTTCCAACAGCGAGCGACGCCGACCGACGCCGACCGACGCCGAGGCGGGTCCGGACACCATCAGATATCACCAGGCCGCGGGGCTCTTTCGCGTTTTTCCAGGTTTTTGAAGGGCGGAGCAAGTGACGTTGATGGATGTTTTGTTTGGTTTCTGAAACCCAGGACCTTCAAGGTTGTGACCGAAAATTGGGA